GCCCTGATTGTTTCCATGATTGTGAGCATCATACCCGTGTTCTTGGATTTCATCAAAGAGGGGGAAAAAGACCTGCACGTGGAGCTGTCACGCCCTGATATAAATGAAATACTGTTTAAAGCGTCGTTAAACCGAACTCATTCACTCAGTTGTTATTCAGACATAAATAAGTGTCACTGTGACACTGCTCTAGACACACGTCATCAACAACGAATTACGTCACCATATATCGCCTGACGTCATTCAACAATAGCCGTTTTGTTGTACATCAACATTGTAGTTGATATTGTAATGATGGATACTGGTACCTGCATACCCGTAAGATCCGAGTGGAGAATAGGTCTTCAGCAACCCGATCTTGCTGTAAGAGGCGAATGTGCTTGTCGTAAGAGGCGACTAACGGGAAAGGGTTGTCAGGCTCGCTGACTTGGTTGATGCATGTCATCGTCGTGTCCCAATTGCGTGGATTGATGCTCATGATACCAATCACTTGATTGTCTGGTCCAGACTCTATTATTTACAGACCGCCGTCCTATAGCTGGAATATTGCTCGACGTTCGGCGTTAAAAAACAAAAAACAACCACAATGAACAAGGGGTATTAATGACACAATCATTGTGGTACACGTGGTAAATGTTTAAAAATGTAACCGAACAGAATGGCATCAAAACTCTTTTGTTGTCACATGATATGTCAACAACATATGTTGCACTGTTTAGAATAACTCCATGTGGCAGTGACACAATGGCTGAACGGAATGGCATAAACAATGTTTTGTATGTCAACAGTAATAAAGTTATAATTTTCTTATCATAATTTATCTTTTCACAGTAATAGTAACGTTGTTGTTATATCATTTTATGTTGAACTGGGTCAGTGGAGACTTGTAGATATTTTTTTTTAAAATTGAAACGCACAACGTTGTGTGTGTGTAGTTTATATATAACCATGAATCAGACTTCCCTCATCTTCCCGAGGCAAGTGAGTAACTGACTATAAGAGTCCAGTTTCCACCCTTGCCAAACTCGGCTGTTATTATGGAGTTACATTGTGGCTGGACTAAAGTGTCTATGCATAGTCCAATCACAATCACGCAACGAAATCGAAATCCGGTCCGTAAGCTGTCGTGCAGATTTCGGTCGATTGCAGGATTTGCAAATCATTTGCACCGCCAACACGTTGTCAACAGATACTTTCCAAATTGTTTCATGTTTTTAATCATGGTGCTCACATGATTTGATGCACTTCGCGATGTAAGACCCATTTTATCACAATATAGATCTTGATTATCGATCAGATCGTCTTGATCGGCGCCACTAAGATTGAAGCAAATGCAAGTGATACGAGAGCTGGAATATGATTGGTCCATAGAGAGGAATAGAAGGGACATAACTCGTAATAGCCACTGGTGGCTCTACGATCGAGCCCAGGAATTCCAGCCTGGTTCGGCAAGGGTGGAAACTGGACTTTTAAAGTTAGTTAACTCTCTTGCCTAGGGAAGATGGACTTCCCTATGAGAGTTACCTCCCTCATGCTTAGCGTATACTGTATATGTTTACTTTTGTAGCCTGACTCGTCAATTATTCACGCTGTACGAAAGTCATCAGACCTGCTACATGGAAACTGAGTCAACGTTTCCCGCCCGTCTCCATGACGACAAACACAAAAATGTTTTGTGTAATAATTTACAGTTGTGATTGTTTTAAACACTTCTTTCATGATGATGTATGCATTTCGTGTGTACACATATCACAATACATTTGTGAGACAAAGACACGTTGTTTTTTTTACATTTGCTTACATCTATCTAACAAAATGTTACTCAAATCATAGATTTTGTCTCCCTTTGATGATTGTGCCCGCCTAACACAAACTTGTTTAGTGTAATAATTTACAGTAAGGAATCTTTTATATCATAGTTTCATAATTATTTATGTATTTTGAATGTACACATAGCATTATACATGTGCGAAACAAAGATGAGGTTTCTTTTAAAAGTTATTTCCATCTTTCCAACAATTACATCATCATTTTCTCAAACCAAAAACAAATAAAGAACTGCAATAAAAGTTCCCGCACTTTGTCTGATAACTTGCGGGCGTTCATGATAAATCTCACCAGTTTAGCTCTAAATAATCTTGGGACGGGTTGAAAAATACAGTATGTTCGGTTTGTCGGCCTGTACGACCAGACAATATGATGTCATAATGTTTGGCGTGACGCCACTTCAATTATTCGACAGGTCACAAATCGCACCTATTTTAACACACTGAGACCGATGTATTGATTCAAACGCCATAAATCTTTGGAATCTTAGAGTAATAATAAATTCTTATGAAATCACTTATTACTCCTAGGGTTAGAAATATCCGAGTTCATAAATAGCGAAATTTCAGATACCATGGAAAGTCCACTCGTTTAGTAAAAATGCTATCTAACGAATGAGTGTAGTATTCTCTATATAAACTGACGTCCAAAAGAAACTTTACCAGAGTTTGAAATCACTCTTGCTAAAAAACAACAAAACATACATGCATGAAGTAAAGTGTATTGAGAAGATCAATATATCAACATAATCAACACTGAAAATGACAATCATACCGAGACCGAGAATGACGTCAGAGCCCCCCAAAGTTGGGTGTGGTACAAAACTCGAGCTTTCAGAATCATGGACAATAGGCAGAGTACATAAACAATCGCTCACGTTCAATAACAAGTCATTAGTAGCGCGTGTGACCACCAAATGCCTCAATATACGCAAAAACTCTTCGACGCACAGAAAAAGTCAGTCGTCTGATGAGGTCACGTGGGATTTGACGCCATTCTTCTTGGAGGGCCAAGATCCGTTCTTGCCGGTTGGCTGGAGAGTGTGGTCGTTGTCGAACACGACGATCCATCAAGTCCCAGAGGTGTTCTATGGGGGACATGTCGGGTGAGCGTGCAGGCCACGGCAGGATGTTGACGTTGTTGGCTGCGAGGAAGTTAGTGACAATTCTGGCTGTATGGGCTCTAGCGTTGTCATGCTGATAAATGACACCACGTGGCTGCTGTTGGAGAAATGGTAGGACAACTTGACGAAGAATGTTATCCATGTAACGCTGAGCTGTCAAGTTTACGTCAACGATGACCAGCGGTGTCCTCTCCTGCCCACAGATCCCTCCCCACACCATAACCCTCCCTCCACCATATGGTACGACCTCCTGCACGCAACACGCCGCCGTTCGTTCACCCCTTCGGCGGTAAACACGTTGTCTTCCATCAGCCCTAAACATACAGAATCGACTTTCGTCAGTGAAGACAACCCTCTGCCAGTCACATTGTTGCCAACGTCGTACAGTCCGCGCCCATCTCAATCGCAGACGACGATGTTGCGCTGTCAATAGTTGTCCTCTGTATGGTCTAAAAGCCCTGATTCCATGAGCCCTGAGTCTCCTGGCCACTGTCTGTCGACTAACCCTGTGACCTAAGGCATTTGTCGCCGATGACGTCACTGTCAGGAAGCGATTTCGGAGGTGCAAGGTACGCAAGTACCGGTCATCATGGGTCGTGGTCACCCTGGGTCTGACTGTTCTTGGCCTGTCAGCGGTCCGCCCTACCATACCCAAGGCTCGTTCACGTTGTTCGACTGTGAGTCGTGGCATTTCTTTTGTGTGTTTTTTTATCACTGTGGATGTCTGACTTGCCGTTGCAATCGTTTTATACCCTTACCGGCACGGGTATTTGCAGTTGTCCGTGGTGCACGTGCTTTTCACTTTTTCGCGTGTTATCTCGCAAACATGTAACAGACGATTAACATTTTCTGTATACACTATTGTTGTATTTGGGTTATGTGTTGTAGATAGACTTCATCGAAAAAATATTTATACTTTATCTGAAATTTATATTTTCAGTTGGTAAAGTTTCTTTTGGATGTAAGTTTATATGTCGAGATAGTTTAAACTGACTTCATTTCACCACTCGTTTCAGTCGTGAACTTTCTGTGGTATTTGACCTCGCTTTCGCTTGGTCAGATACCATAGAAAGTCCACTCTTTTCGTGAAAATGGTATCTAACGAGAATGAGTGTAGTATTCTCTGTGTATCTTACCATCTGTATCAAATATCATTTCACGCGCACCATTGCATTGTTTGAGTTATCTGGTTGTTGACGTCATTCGAATCTTCTGGTGTCGGAATGACGTCACACTAGAAACGCCGTCATAGCTGAAGATTGTTGACGTCAATCGACAATTTGGGGTTTTGTAGACGGTGGTCGTGATCAATGTATTTTTCTCTAAGGGGCGCTGAAACCATATAAAAATAATGGGTAATAGGAACATTATTACACTCGCATATGTGTGTCATATTAATTTTACGAAACTCGTGTAAGAATTCATGTATTATCTTCACTATCGGTCGGGAAATACAAGAATTCTGACACTCGTTTCTTAAATTAACATCAGTATGACACACATGCTCGTATAATAAAATATGTGTTTTTCTCTGTGGCGACAAATTTAATTGATTTCATCAGTTTTTATGGCTTTACATGCCAAAATGTAATCTTCCGCTTTGAGGGCAACATAATATTTTCAGGGGTAGATCTATATGGTGGTTTCTTGTATTTGTGGAAATTATAGACAATAATTAGGAATTAGTATACCCATATCAGATCTCATTTGATACTTTTGAATACAATTTAGTCATTGTAGTTGTCTGAACGTAAACAATTTCTCACGAGGAAAAATATAGTTGGAAAACAGGAATGATGTGTTTCGGCAATCAAACCATCTAGGAGTCATCTAGAAATTTCGTCAGATTTGCCATCTCTTACCTCTCACATCCCTTCCATGTCATTATATTGGCATGCAAATGTACTAAAAATAATATCTCTTTGTACAAATAAAAATAAACAAACTGTCACAACATGACAAAGGTAGTTAAATATTTGTCCTGTCGTGTTCTTGATCCTGAAACAATGCACCAAAACTCGCAGGGAAAAACCCGGAAGTTGACTGGCAGCGCCCCCTAGGAACACATGCGCCATGGAAGCTGTCAAGCTGGCTAAGAGATCCTGAAGAGAATCTCAAATTTTAGGTCCAATTGAGGAACGAAGGAGAAGGATACTGCCTTGTTTTGAACCCTGAACGAAACATCCGGTAAATGTTTGTCGAACTTATGTCATTAGAATGCAATTACTTATCTAGATTTGCCGTATGAGAAGTCGTAATATGTAAACAGTGGAAATGGAAAACTGAAAATAAGAAGGAAGTACCCTTTGCAACCAGTGAATGCGATCGCTTTTGTCGGCTACAGAACTTATTAAAGTCTACGGTCTTCTTGTTAACGTGTAATAATTTAAGGTTATTGGTCTATTGTTCTATATGTGGCGGAAGTGTCAAAATATTCTGCATTTAACAATTGTTGTTAGTAGGGAGTTAGAAGTGTTGTGTGGGTTAACGGAAATGCTAAGTTGGACTGTCTGCTGTTGACACAGTTGTCATGCTTGACATATCATCACCAACTAATCTCAAATATGCACTGTCAACATAATGTGCCCTTGTTTGATAAATGTCTAAAACCCAGGAGTCAAACATATTATTTCATTTAAAGAAGATCTTATTCCATAGTCTATGCATTGAGCTCTGCACCCTGGAAGAGACATCTGATGCAGGTTAGATATAGGTGGTTGTTTGTGCATTCTTGTATTGGTTATATTTGGGGGAATAGACGTTTTGACACAAACTGCAGATGTTACTGGAAAAAAAGAAGGTAATCATTCTATAGAATTACTCGAATTAAAGGTTAAAGGTTTAACATGGTATTCCACGAGGCTCATATTCATGTGGATCTGATCAAATATTAAGCAGTATTTTACATTGAAGTTCAGATGACTCATGTGAGTAAGGATTTTTTAATATTTATTTATATTTTGCCAGTCTTCAGCATCAGCTCTCAAGTCGCAGGCAAAATATATCCCATATTGATATTTGGAAGTTCCGAAGTCAACATGAGTTTAATTGTCAAGTTGTCATTAGTAGTGTCCACTCTTATTAGTTAGTTGAATGATCATGTAGGAGTTGTGTGAACTTGTATGTCATGTTTATACCAGTGGACTCTTTTCTTAACCACTTCGTTAAAATATCTAGAAAACATGGTGCCATGTCTCCTGTGAGTCCAAAGGCTGATAAAAAAATGTTTATCTGTGTGCAGTTATGAATTCCTCTGATCTTTTGTACTTGTAGTGTATATATTGTAATTATCAGTTGCTTAAATTAGTTGCAGTGTTGATATGATTATAAGATGTGCTGCATTATTTTACTGGTGAACGTAGTTAAATATGGATTAAACATGTTGAACAATTATTTGATTTTTTTCAGTAAATTAAGAACATGTTAGAATAAAACATCCTCATTTAAACGTTTTAAAAATTATTAAGTTAGTAATACTTTTCTAATTTAACTGCAATGAGCATTATTATTGTTTTAGATCCTGTGTGTGTGTGTAAGGTTCCAGCAGTCATTAACACTCATAGCCAATCAGCACATCAATCATTGCTCATTAACTTAATTAAGAAAAGTTAACTCTTTATGACTAATTAAACATAAATGCTGCTACTTCTTTTTTCTTTTCTTTTTTTTCAGTTTCAGTACATTATAATCATCATCATAATGTCACATTAAGTTATGTATATACATGCATACATTTTTAAATGCTGCTTCTGTTGAATGATAGAAAAGCAAGAAACTATCATCCACAGTTATAACAGTTTTGTAACCTTGGATAGGTCTGGTGTTAACATTTCAGGCAACCTTAACATGCTGAAGACACATTGTTTCACTTGCACACTTATTGTTTATATCACCATGATCACAGCTAGAAACCTATATATATATATATATATATACAGAGCTCCAGATAAGCTTTGGTGTTGTGGGTATTTTACCCATGCATTTTAAAATCATTGGGTATCAGTAATTCTATCTGGGTATTCCAATTTCTGTTACCCTCTAGTTTTTACACATGTGGGTATTTAAGTTAAATATTTAAAAACACTATTCATCTTGTCCCTGCAAACTGGTGTTGTGTGGGTTCGAGAGCTTTATAGGACTCAAAAATACCGCGATACTTCCACAAGAAAGTGTGATGGCAAATGATCATGATGTAACTGTCATCGTGGAGTTTAGCAAGGTTGACGGAATGTCCGGATATAATTTCAAAATAAGTTGCTGATTTGGTAATCGAATATGCAGGGTTACTTCACAATATTTTGATGATACGCACAAGTTTTATTTTTGTAGCGTATCTGTAATGTTCGTTGCGTATTTGATACGCTTGAATATTATTTCACTGCATATTTCTGCATTTCTGATACGTATTTTACGCAGATACGCAGCTTATCTGCAGCTCTGTATATATATAACTTCTTGGAAACAAATCCATATGTCCAGATATTACTCATATCATGATTATTGATGCTGTAGCTATTTTGATCTACAAATTCGAGACACATTACAACAAGTGTCCGTTCTAAAGAAGCCATCTGTGTTTCCTTTTTACTTGTTGTTACCATGCCTGGCGTAAAGCATTAAGGAGATAAAGTAAGGACTTGTCAGCTCGGAGTCAGGTTACTGTGTCTGAGTTGAGTATCCATGTTAAAAACTGTGGTAGCGTATCTCAGTGGGTTGGCACTATAAAACCAGCACTGTTAGTCTGAACTTTATACAAGTCTTTATACAAGCTACTGTGAAGATCCGGGGTAGAATAGGTCTTCAGCAATACCTGCTTGTCCCAAGAGGCGACTAACGGGATTGGGTGGTCAGGCTCTCTGACTTGGTTGATGCAGGTCATCATATCCCACTTGTGTGGATCGATGCTCATGATGTCAATCACTGGATTGTGTGGTCCAGACTTGATTAATTACAGACCACTGTCAAAAAGCTTAAGTATTGCTGAGTGCAGTGTTAAACAACAAACAAACAAAACTTGTACAAGGAGCCTCACATACGGGCATGCACGTCGTCATGTAAGAGCAATAATGTTGAACACAAATAAAGCCCCGTGTCACCTCACCTCTTGATGGTGGTGTATACGGAGCAAGCTAAGAGTCAGACATGGTCAGACTGATTTGGAACTTTGTGCGTCAAGTGATGCATAATTACTTTATAAAGTATTGATTCCATTCCAGAAATATCATCGGGACCTATATTGCAGAGATAAGGGTGGTAATTTCTACGGGGTTACCAAGCACAATGACTAAGGCCCAATTGCACACTGAAGCACTGTTACAATGACAAGATAAGAAGTCAGGATATCTTAGCTTGACCTGACACAAATATACCGGTACTGAACTGCAAAAGAAACATCGCATCATGAATATACTTCATGAAAGTTTCCCATTGAAGTATCAATGCATTTCTTGGAGGCATCTCGTTTTTGACTTGAGCTTGTATCCAAATTTAATGTTAATGGCCCAAAAGTGACACAAATATAGATATACTGGGTCGCCAAAACACAGCTGAACAAATGTGTATGGTTCAAAGTGCCAAATGCTTCCCCAAAAGTCAAAATTTCCATTTCCATGTGCCTTTTCTGATAAACAGCACCCCAAAAGGTGGATCCAGCATCGTTGTATCAATACTAGCGCCATGCCAAGACTTTCGAGGAATCCGAGAAACCAGGCTGGCTTCAGGAAGACTGCATGCTGTTTGTGACCTGGTTCTGTTGCTGTAACCTGTTTATGTTCTCACATGGACCTTAAAGGGCAAGTCCACACGGAAATGAACCTATTTTTCTTGTACTTTTTCCACATTAAAAGTGTTAACATAGAAGTGTCATAGACAAAAATATAAAAATATCACAATTAATTAACATATTTTTCGCATTAAAACGATTTATATTTTTCACATTTACCAAGTGTTCTATTTCCACAACAAAAACACCATGGCTTATGCCCCTTGCAATATGACGTCATTGGTGCCAATTGATAAACATTATGACGTCATCCTGCTTTGTTAGAGCCGCTTAACGTGGTGTAGGTCCAGATGTGTGATTCTAGCGTCTCAGATGCCAGCCAGCATAGTGTTATGCTGAGTCACCACTGCGCCGGAGTGTGTCGTAGGCCATGTTGTTTTACCGCAAACTGGTACTTGATATCTTTTGCGTTGAGAATAGACAGGGACCCAGTTGAATTGGCACCAATTACGTCATAATCTAAGGGGGATAACTCAGGCCTGTTTAGCTCGAAAAACGAAGGCCTCATAACGGCATATCATTTTCACACTATTGTGAGCTTCCTACGTTCACTGTGAAAAAAATGAGTGTATATTTTCAAACACAGATACTAATTAATTCTAAAATTGCGTTTTGTTTAGAAAAAGAAAGAAAGTGATTTGTGCGTGTACACTTCCCCTTTAAACACATTGGCAGCCATTTGTGCAGTCTCGTCAGCATGCAGCCTTTCTGGTTCGGGATAGTGATCAGAAAATATCTATCTTTTTAAAACCCACAATAGTGTGAGTTTTACTCCATAGATTCGTAAGTTCCATTCCCATCAATGTCCTCAGCTAGATAAAGATGTTTATAAGGGGCAGCGGGGTAACCTTGTGGTTAAATCGTTTACGTGTCATGTCTTCGAGGGCCTGGGTTCTATTCCCCACAATGTCATCATCAAGATAAAGATGGTTATAAGGAGCAGTTGGGTAGCCTTGTGGTTAAATCGTTTACTTGTCACATCGTCGAATGCCTGGGATCTATTCCCAACAGTGTCATCAGCGAGATTTAGATGATTTTAAGGGGCAGTTGGGTATTCCTCAGTCACATTTGCTCTACGGCTGGGATAAGGCGTCCGTAGCCCCCCAAAAAGGAGAGGATCTGTGGTGGCCTCAGGGTCGCCCTAGGGCGTTTGTCTATTTTTTACAGGCCGTAGGGGTCGCCATGGGATCATAGCGCGGAGTTATAACTTTTTTAATTTCCAGGTTCACTGTAGCAATTAGACATGCCATAGAGCGGTTACCTGGCAACCATATGTCGGGCGTGGCCTTGCGTTTGCCGTGCGGCTGCCTTAGGCTTATATGAATTACGGTTGACTTTTGCGGACCCCCAAAGAATTGCGGAGGCATGGTGCAAAACTTGGGAAACTTTGTGAAGCTTTGTGAAGCTTTGTAATGAAATGTCTGTTGTGAAATTTCTAGTGAAATGTCCTGATGTGTGTGGCAAACCCAGGTGTTTAGCGGTAGCGGCAGTCTGGCTGCACGGTCACTGTATGGTCCTCTATGGCTGCCTTGCTGTTGCCTTGGTATTTGTCAAAAAAACTACGGCTGCCGCAGGGACGCCCTAAAGCTGTACGGCAGTCACAGGTTTTCTGTCTCCACAAATTCAAAATATGCTGTGCGGCTACCCTAACATATGTGACTACTACAGTCTGTGACCTTGGGAATGCTGCCGCGGCCCTATAATTGTTACTGGCCGTAAATATTTTAGACCCCATGGCCACCGCAGCAAAATAGGGTATGTGCAAATAGGAAGGCAGATGCTTCGATGCACACGCGACTCGCCAGTCACGACCTTGGGTGGATTCTGGTCCCTCTCGGCAGTGGATGATTTCACATAGCGCTTTAATTTCTTTCACGGAGGTCGCGGGTGACAGCACAGCCACGGTGATTGAATTAATTAGTATCAAGCGCTTCAGTGAGTACTGCGGACCGCACCCGTCTCGCGTACAAGAGACGGCAGAGTCGTCACGCGTACACGTTACGTCTGCGACTGTTTATAGACAGTGATATACGGTAAGAATCTACATCAAAACATTGCTATATGCAATGAACCAGAAGTTGTTATCCTTATAGTTGTATGTTTTCTTACTCAGTGAGCTAGCACTATAACACTAGTTAGCACTATAACACTAGTCTGGACTAAGACAAGCAGCCACACACGTACATTCATGCATGTCGCTATATACATGATATAAGTCCAATTATCTTGAACGGGACGTTAAATCCCATTTCACCTTACCTCACCTGAGGCGATGCCTTATTTAATTTCATGGTCATATCTTTGGCCATTATGATTGATTACTAAATGTACCAAGGTGTTATATTTAAGGTATGTAGTATCTCGATAGTTTATTTGAGAACTTGATCCAGATGACCTATGACCCATGACCTTTCACCTGGTTATGCCTTCTGCATTTTGTTTGAAATTATCGAATATATTAACATGATTAAGCTAATATCTGCCTTCTATAACATGTATGAAGTATGATTATCAGTCTAAAAATAGTTTGATTAAAAATGTGTTCATTGAATTGTAAATTATAAGAATGGCTGTCACAGCGTGTATATTTATAATGTGTTTTTCAGTGTTTTTGTCCCATTTCTCTGCTGTCTATATATACAGTAAACTACAGTTATAACGAATTTCAAGGGACCACTACATTTAGTTTGTAATAACCCTAGTTCGTTATAAGCACATATACACCATATATATACAGCAACTGGACGGGGCCAAAAAAAATTTCCTGGGCTCGACCGTAGCGCCACTAGTGGTTTTTACGAGTTATGTCCCTTCTAAGCCTCTCCTATGGACCAATCAGATTCACTTGCATCACTTGCATTTGCTTCAAACAAAATGGCGACGCCAAGTCGGCAAGGGTGGAAACTGGACTTTTGTAGTCAGTTAACTCTCTTGCCTCGGGAAGATGGACTGACTCCACTGTCAGGGGCCGCCTCCAATGACTAGTGGTAGAGTGTCTGCTCGGAGATCGGAAGGTCCGGGGTTTGATCCCCGACCGCGTCATACCAAAAGATGGTACTTGTTGTTACCCTGTCTGCCGCTCGGCATTAAGGGGCTAAATCAAGGACTGGTAGGTTTGGAGTCAGTAAACTGTGTCTGAGTGGGGTATTCATGTTAAACTGCGGCATGGTATCTATGTTGGCTGGCATTATAAATTGACATCAGTCCACGGGCACACACACGCACTAACACTAACACTAACACACTATATAAGTGCAATAATCTTGGGCTGTATACTCCCCAGGGAGCTGAGAATGAAAACAGAGTGCACACTGATCCATTGACTGGGGTGATAATAAAGGATCTGGCGCATTATAAATATGCACTTTGTGATGAGGATGATGATTATGATGTTTTTATCCCCCGCCGGGTCAGAATGGCCGAATGGGGATTATGTCGTGGCGCAGTCTGTCTGTCTGTCTGTCTGTCTGTCTGTCTGTCTGTCTGTTTGTCCATCTGTCTGTCCTTCCCACAGAGGGTACTTAGCTTGTGAAGCAACTCCTCCTACAGTTTCCAGAGAATATCCCTGAAACTCTACACACAAGATGTCGACATGTTGATGATACGCATATCGCAGTCCCGTTTCATTTCGACTAATTTTGCTGTTTTACGGAGCACCATGAAATCTACTCCTCCTCCAGTTTCCAGAGAATATCACAATATCTAACTATAACTATAACTATAGTTAGTTTCGTTGTATAAGGCTTTTGTGGGTGAGCTACATCCTTATGGCATTAGCATTCAGACTGGATTACTCCCAACAAAATGTTCTGCACAATTTGTTTCAAATGCAGTGCCATCTACTGTTGTTATTTCATAAAATACAAAGAAAATATAAAAGAATTCATGCAGGGGATGTTGTGCTCTCAGAGCACTCTTGTTTATTATTATTGTTATAGATTGAAACTGTGCTGTTAATGTGCCATGCTTCAAATAACATTTGTGTTAAAATAATGCAGAGATCAGCGATATTTCCACAGATGCTCACAAATGAACTTGTTTGGTACTGTTCTTATTAAATTCTATTTTATATGTTTTTGTGTAATCAATTTTTTGTGGTTTACTCTAATGAATATATTTTTTAAAGTTCTTTAGATTTGTAATAAATGTTATGTGTAATAGCACTGACTATGTATGTATCTTTTTATTTTGGAAATGTAGGTCATCTGGCCCATGATTAACAAGCAATTCACATACAATATATTGATGAAAGGTCTGCCTTGGTACATTCAGTGCATTACCATCTATATAAATTATAAATTATCAATAATTCATATCAGTGTATTTCAATTCATTGTTTTCACACTTTGAAACCATAAAATATGTGTGCACTTAGTTTCCATGCATGTTGGTTATTAATTTTTTAAATATTTTGATTACTTTTGAATATCCTTTCACAATGCTAAAAAATTGACTCCTTAAATTGTCATTCAAAAGACAGATCAACCAAAAATGTTCTTCATCTTCGATAACCATGATAACTTTCATTCACAAAACACTTTTACAATATGAATATAACGTTTCTTTGTAAACATGGTAAAAAAATATTTTCCCACCATCTAGACTCAATACTTAAATTATGATTTCCACAACAAAATTCAAATAAACATTACTTAAATAATAGATTTCAAAGCCAATTTTTACATCATACATCTTTCAATCGTTGAGCGAGTAACTAATAATATTTGCAGGTTTTGACTAGTGTGTAGAATGATGTAGAAGATCTCATGTTGGCCTGGCTCATGTAATATTAGGCTTTCTTGAGAAGGGGCGGTCGGGTAGCCTCGTGGTTAAAGCGTTCGCTCGTCACGCCTAGGACCCAGACTCGATACCCGACGTTTGCACAATGTGTGAAGCCCATTTCTGGTGTCCCCCGCCGTGATATTGCTGGACTATTGCTAAAAGTGGCGTAAAACCATACTCACTCACTCACTCACTTTCTTGAGAATTTTGTGAACATCGTCAACATTTAACTATGCAGGACACAATGGTGAAATAATATTTTCTTCTACAAAATTGTGGTAGTTTCTACAGTCTCTCCTACGCTTGTACCCCCATGGACATGAGTGAGTGAGTGAGTATGGTTTTATGCCGCTTGGTTGTATGGTTGTTCTTTCGAATTTGTTGGGGCCGGGGGGATTTGTCATCTTCCGATGATTCTTGTTTGTATAGTAACCAATAACATCCATTTTATTCACTACTACATGAACAAACAAGATTCTAATGTGCCCCTTGGCGGAGGACAGTGATAACGCTGTTTTCTTGTTCTGTTTCAGAGGCAGGAGAGTTGGTTGTCCGCAGTGGAAACCAGCGGGAATGAGTGATGATGATAAACCCTTTGCTTGCTCGGCTCTGGGATGTGGGATGGTGAGTTACCATGGTTTTGCTCCAAGGTCTTCAGCAACCCAGGCTTGCCGTAAAAGGCGGCTATGCTTGTCGTAAATGGCGACTAACGGGATCGGGTGGTCAAGCTCGCTGACTCGGTTGATGCATGTCATCAATCCCAATTGTGTGGATTGATGCTTATGATATTAATCACTGGATTGTCTGGTCCAGGCGCAATTATTTACAGACCACGGTCATATAGCTGGAATATTGCAGAGTGCGGCGTAAAACAACAAACCAACAACAACAAACCAACAACTGATGTGCAGGGTTTCAAATTCCTTGTGATATAATGCCACTGGCATAGTTGGAATAAGTGACCGGTGCTGAAATAAGGTATTCTTTTTCGGGGACATAGGGCCGCCAGTTGTCTAAGGTGCTTCCATTCACACGCAAGGCATCCCAGAAACATGTGATTGTGGGTTCGAATCTCTGTTCGCCCTTATAATGTTTATGGGTTTGTCAGCACCATACCTATGCTCGTGGGTTTAACCAAAGTGGTAGACATCTGGGACCTGCATTACCTAGGGAAACACTGTGATATAACTGTAATACTGTTAAAGAGGCGTTAAACCCAACTCACTCACTCACTCACTCACTCACTCAGGTTCACAGACCCGTGAAGATCCGGGGTAGAATAGATCTTCAGCAACTCATGCTTGCCATAAAAGGTGACTATGCTTGTCGTAAGAGGTGACTAACGTGATCGGATGGTCAGGCTCGCTGACTTGGTTGATGCATGTCATCGATCCCAATTGCGTGGATCGATGCTCATGATGTCAATCACTGGATTGTGTGGTCCAGACTCGATCATTTACAGACTGCCGTCATATAGCTTGAATGTTGGTGAGTGTGGTGTTAAACAACAAACAAACACTCAGGTTCACCTTCACAGGAGTCCTTATCTCCATCATTTGGAACTCAGTGATTCATTTGCAAGATGCAGACATCACTCACACTTTGTAGAGGAACCTTGATGCTGATGCTGTCCTCAGGGTCAGTGTCCTCAGAGTCAGTGTCCTCAGGGTCAGTGTTCTCAGTCAGTGTCCTCAGAGTAAGTGTTCTCAGAGTCAGTGTCCTCAGGGTCAGTGTCCTCAGGGTCAGTGTTCTCAGGGTCAGTGTTCTCAGTCAGTGTCCTCAGAGTAAGTGTTCTCAGAGTCAGTGTCCTCAGGGTCAGTGTCCTCAGGGTCAGTGTTCTCAGTCAGTGTTCTCAGAGTCAGTGTTCTCAGGGTCAGTGTTCTCAGGGTCAGTGTTCTCAGTCAGTGTCCTCAGAGTCAGTGTCCTCAGGGTCAGTGTTCTCAGAGTCAGTGTTCTCAGGGTCAGTGTCCTCAGATTCAGTGTTCTCAGGGTCAGTGTTCTCAGAGTCAGTGTTCTCAGGGTCAGTGTCCTCAGGGTCAGTGTTCTCAGGGTCAGTGTCCTCAGGGTCAGTGTTCTCAGAGTAAGTGTCCTCAGAGTCAGTGTTCTCAGAGTAAGTGTTCTCAGGGTCAGTGTTCTCAGGGTCAGTGTTCTAAGGGTCAAATCCCCAGAGTCAGTGTTCTCAGGGTCAGTGTTCTCAGAGTCAGTGTCCTCAGAGTCAGTGTCCTCAGGGTCAGTGTTCTCAGAGTCAGTGTCCTCAGGGTCAGTGTTCTCAGGGTCAGTGTTCTCAGGGTCAGTGTTCTCAGAGTCAGTGTCCTCAGAGTCAGTGTTCTCAGGGTCAGTGTTCTCAGAGTCAGTGTCCTCAGGGTCAGTGTTCTCAGAGTCAGTGTTCTCAGGGTCAGTGTCCACAGGGTCAGTGTTCTCAGTCAGTGTCCTCAGGGTCAGTGTCCTCAGGGTCAGTGTCCTCAGGGTCAGTGTTCTCAGGGTCAGTGTTCTCAGAGTCAGTGTTCTCAGGGTCAGTGTCCTCAGGGTCAGTGTTCTCAGGGTCAGTGTCCTCAGGGTCAGTGTTCTCAGGGTCAGTGTCCTCAGAGTAAGTGTCCTCAGAGTAAGTGTTCTCAGAGTCGGTGTCCTCAGAGTCAGTGTCCTCAGAGTCAGTGTCCTCAGAGTCAGTGTTCTCAGGGTCAGTGTTCTCAGGGTCAAATCCCCAGGGTCAGTGTTCTCAGGGTCAGTGTCCTCAGGGTCAGTGTCCTCAGGGTCAGTGTTTTCAGGGTCAGTGTCCTCAGAGTCAGTGTCCTCAGGGTAAGTGTCCTCAGAGTAAGTGTTCTCAGAGTCAGTGTCCTCAGAGTCAGTGTCCTCAGGGTCAGTGTCCTCAGAGTCAGTGTTCTCAGGGTCAGTGTTCTCAGGGTCAGTGTCCTCAGAGTCAGTGTTCTCAGAGTCAGTGTCCTCAGAGTCAGTGTCCTCAGGGTCAGTGTCCTCAGAGTCAGTGTTCTCAGGGTCAGTGTTCTCAGGGTCAGTGTCCTCAGAGTCAGTGTCCTCAGAGTCAGTGTTCTCAGAGTCAGTGTCCTCAGGGTAAGTGTCCTCAGGGTCAGTGTCCTCAGAGTCAGTGTCCTCAGAGTAAGTGTTCTCAGGGTCAGTGTCCTCAGAGTCAGTGTTTTCAGAGTCAGTGTCCTCAGAGTCAGAGTTCTAAGGGTCAGGGTTCTCAGAGTAAGTGTTCTCAGGGTCAGTGTCCTCAGAGTCAGTGTCCTCAGAGTAAGTGTCCTCAGAGTAAGTGTTCTCAGAGTCGGTGTCCTCAGAGTCAGTATCCTCAGAGTCAGTGTCCCCAGAGTCGGTGTTCTCAGAGTCGGTGTCCTCAGAGTCAGTGTCCTCAGAGTCAGTGTCCCCAGAGTCAGTGTCCTCAGAGTCGGTGTTCTCAGAGTCGCTGTTCTCAGGGTCAGTGTCCTTAGGGTCAGTGACCTCAGATCTTCACACATAGAGGAATTGAATCAGAGTAAAAGATCAGGGCCCGTTCCACAAACCAATCATAGCGCTAAGATATTAATTAATTAAAGATACCATAGACATGATAATGAGGAATACAGACAGAATTTCAAAGGTCAGTAAATTTATTTAAAAAAACCGTTTATGAGTTGATTTGTAATATTTAGCATGGTCATTCAGTATAGTTTTGCAACTGAAATATTTATCACCAGATATTGAAAGACCAATTAATGGTACTTTTAAGAGGAATGTAGACAGAATTTCAAAGTATGCAATATATTATAGGTTTGTGAATAGTTAGTGAAACATTTTCATCATTTTTTCATGTAAACACCCTGTATGGATTCATTAGTGTCTTGGTTGATGAAGTAGAAAATACTTCAGTAAAAGTTGGGAAAATTGAGGATTTTTTCATAGCTGTAATAATTATATTTGTGTGAATATTGAGATTTTGTTCAGTGATACAGTTATGGGAGACATATCTGAAAATATTTATCAAAATTGTGATTTTCACTGACTGTTCAGTAGGGCTGTTATGATTCACTTGCGTATTCGGTGAATCAAACCGTATCCATTCATGAATTGAATTCGTTATTCGTGGCCACTAGAATCAATATTTATGAACATGATGAATATGCAAGCATATGCATTTACATAAAAAAATACCCATAAGAACATATTTTATGCATAGATTTCTTCAAAAGACAACACTGTGATACTATTTAATTTGACAGTATTGTGGTCACTGGTCATTGTTGCATTTGAGCAGATACTAGCACCTGGATAAGTGCAGTATATAAATGAATAATATATTAATAATATATTAAAAATTAACAAACCATGTCAAATAATTCATCAACTGCTGACTTGTTATTGTATTTGTGAATTAATATTCGTATTCGTTATCCTATATTCATGATACGAATCGTATTCGCCTCATAGTGTAGTCGTTGCAGCCCTACTGTTCAGCATTTTTGGTGACTTTTAACACTTAAAACGAACACCTTTTTTTACACCTTTCTCTTATTATCATTTGCTATCATTTACATTTTTCTGCACTTTTGCTCCAGAAAGGAGTCAGAGAGTGTCATCTGCTCGGATCTCCCCGACATTTACCTGTAAAAATATTTTCTTAACTAAGTTATATTGGTCTAACAGATGTTATATTTGGGATAACACTTTCTCAGTACAGTACAGCTTAAGCCTCGGTGGCTGAGTGGGTTTGATGACTGACTTTGTGTGCTTGCAATTAGGTGCCTTCACTCTGGCAGTGTGGGTTCGAATCCCGGATGGGACTCAACACCACAAAGTACGAGAATGTGTAGTTTATTGAGAAAGTGTTATCTCAAATATAACATCTGTTTAGCTTTTGCAACATTGTAGGCACAACACGCGCAATTGAACTTGCTACAAACACACGCCTCTATTTGTGACTGGTGATGTATCTCATAATTATCACAGTTCGTGCTCACTAACAATGGAGCTGTCGGACTATGAAAACATCTACAGAATGAATATATATATTTGGTGGGACTACATATTTCATAAAGCAAAGAAACAAAACAACAGGCCTACGGATTTCTTCCGTATATTTTTATTACTAACATCCTGAAATAAACGATCAAAATGATATATGCCTGAACTGTTCCATGACGTGGATGAACTATTCAGCTGCTAATTTTTATAGGAAATGCCCACACACATAATGTGAACTCTCAACATCTACTGAATGTCATATTGAATCGTAGACCATTCAGTGTGTGCTATGATCAATAGATAAACCACTAAACTTCGAACAAACAATCCTGAAAGTGCAACACATCAATTTTAAATCACACATTCAAGTACACACACATCTTCTCATGTTTCCGCATTCACCCGCTAAATGCACGGACCGCGGCCACCTAAACGAGTCTCCTGGTGGTAATGAAGGCCGGGAATCAACCAAGCGCTAACGGTGAAGTGACACCAATACACAGGATATTCAAGGTCCTTTTACATGCGCTTTAGTGACTGTGCCCATGCACGCGAAAAACCGGGCCCTGTAGTAGGAATTGAAAATCCACATCCCAAAGAGGCCACCCTGACTGGTTATGTTATAATAATATTTATGCAAGTTGAAAGAATTTGGTAATTACTGATAAACAGTGTTGTACATCCTCCTCAATCAACCAGTCACTTTGATCAGATGTAGATGTGCTGATGGACAAAATAGGACAAAATTCAGTCATGGAAAAAGAACTTGTATATCACACCCATGTGAAAAATTTGTACTGTAAATCTTGAATGTTATAATCATATTTATGCAAGTTGAAAGAATTTGGTAATTACTGATAAACAGTGTTGTACATCCTCCTCAATCAACCAGTCACTTTGATCAGATGTAGATGTGCTGATGGACAAAATAGGACAAAATTCAGTCATGGAAAAAGAACTTGTATATCACACCCATGTGAAAAATTTGTACTGTAAATCTTGAATGTTATAATCATATTTATGCAAGTTGAAAGAATTTGGTAATTACTAATAAACAGTGTTGTACATCCTCCTCAATCAACCAGTTACTTTGATCAGATGTAGATGTGCTGATGGCCAAAATAGGACAAAATTCAGTCATGGAAAAAGAACTTGTATATCACATCCATGTGAAAAATTTGTACTGTAAATCTTGAATGTTATAATCATATTTATGCAAGTTGAAAGAATTTGGTAATTACTGATAAACAGTGTTGTACATCCTCCTCAATCAACCAGTCACTTTGATCAGATGTAGATGTGCTGATGGACAAAATAGGACAAAATTCAGTCATGGAAAAAAAACTTGTATATCACACCCATGTGAAAAATTTGTACTGTAAATCTTGAAATTAAGGGGTCTCAACATTAATATGACTGCCGACCCCTAGCCATCCCCAGAGGAATGATACATATCCTTAACGTAATTCAACCTTACCTTAATCCAATCAAACAGCAAATACCAGTGCTCATTCAGGCAAAGTAGTGCAATTCCGTAAAAACAATAAACAGTGTTTTCCTAAAAACAACACACTGTTTATATGTTAATTCTGTTGACTGACATTAAGGAAGTACAAAGGGAATAAACTTATTGAAACAATCTTAAGGCAGATGACAAGACAAAGGCTGTAGATCTCAGGAGTGTGGTGAAGGCTATCTGTGCGCGTTGGGTTGTGTCAGCCTTTTTCGAAGTGTTGCATGGGTGGCGTCTGTCTGGACTGCTGGAGTGGTCAATGATGCCTAGTTTGACACGAGTGGGTAGAACTCTTGACCCTAGTAGTGATAACTCACTGGACATGCTGAATGCCCTTTGTGTAATTCCTATTCTTTAAATGGCATTGTTATATTCTTGTTACTACTGCTGCTCAACAAACATGACAAACCATGTTTGTGTTTATATTCAAGTTGGTATTTCCGCTATCCCAAGTGTGCAGTGAGGCCTTCTTATTGTTGATAGTCATTTTGGAGACATAAATGCGAAGTTTAATTAATGCGAACAAAGACCACTCACATTTTTCAAATTTAATCTATGCTCGCATTAATTTCAAGATTTACAGTATTTGTTACATTGTGGTATTGACTATCCCTGTGATTGAGCCTCTGACCGGAGAGAGTAAGGTTGATGGTTTCGATTACCGGCCGCTTCATACCTACAGACATTAAACATGTAAAAAGATGGTACTTGTTACCATGCCTGGTGTGCTCGGCATTAAGGGAATTAAACAAGGACTGGTCAGCTCGGAGTCAGTATACTATAGACCATAAGTCTAAAACTAATAAGTATTCTTTCATGAAACTTTGCACACACAAAGACCAGGTTGTCAACTGATGCATTTTACTTTTTATGAATTTTTTGTAAAAACAAATTCTGTTTCCATGAAGGGCTGGGACAGGTAACTTGGGTAATTGGGTTGGATGGGTCCTGAGTATGACCCAGGTATCCACAGGACTACCCGGACCCGTGGTTAGTCACATGATATATTGTTCAATTACAAAAACTCACTATAGCTCAGTGGTTACACTACAAGTTGCTAGTGTTTGCAATTCTTTCTGACGATGCACACATTCCTTTGACTTGTACGTATATGAGTAAAGCTAAAGTTTCAGTCAAATTCAGTGTACGCATGATCTGATCGTTTGATACATGTATCTAAATAGATGAGCTACGGTAAAACAATTCCCAATCAGACAATTTTTCCCAACTCTTGAGACCTACAGATTGTACCCGGGTAGGGTCGGGTAATTGGATAGTAAATTTTGACCCATCCTTGCCCTATTTCCATGGCAACAAGTTTTACTGACTCTTGATATTGGTGTGTACCTGACATAGAAATACAAAGTTCCGAATCCCAACTCAATGGTATTGTTTTGATAGCTCAATAACTACTCATGTATACAGTCAGACTGATTAGATAGAATTTCTTGTTACAGGTGGCCCAGTCATCTAAGGCACTGCAATTCACTGTGCAAGGTTGTGTCTCTTGGGAAAGCCAGAAACCTGTGACTCTGGGGTTGAATCCCTTTTTGTCCAGAATATGTGACCCGTGAAGATCCGGGGTAGAATAGATCTTCAGCAACCCATGCTTGCTGTAAAAGGCGAGTAAGCTTGTCGTAAAAGGCGACTAACAGGATCGGGTGGTCAGGCTCGCTGACTTGTTGATGCATGTCATCGATCCCAATTGCGTGGATCGATGCTCATGATATCAATCACTGGATTGTCTGGTCCAGACTCGATAATTTACAGACCGCCACCATATAGATGGAATATTGCTGAGTGCGGCGTAAAACAACAAACAAACAACAAACAAACCAGATTATGTTTGTCAGAACAATACCTGTGCTCGTGAGTTTTACCAAATTGGTAAATGTCTGAGACCTGCATCACTTACGGCTTTCCGCCCCCATTGCCTTGAGCATATGACTGGAATACTGTTCAAAGTGGCGTTAAACCCGACCCACTCTCTCATTCACTCCAATTACTCATACTATGGTACAAGTATCACAATTCACTGCCATTTCAGCTTCACCATGCACAGCCATTTTGGTGAATTAATGTTCACTTTGCTAATTGTTGTTTTGCTGTTTCAGCGGTTTTCTACAGAGGACCACCTGAATGTGCACATAAGGAAGCATGAAATGTCACTGGCCTTGAACCTCGGGGGAGGGAGTCTAATCGCCTCCCCCACCAACCCATTCATAGGTGAGAGGTGATGGAGAAAAGACAGGGCGGTTCATTCCTCATCACCGACTGCTGCCACAAATACTGTTTACTTCTTTGTTTTGGCAGACCCGGGGTAGTTTCGGTCTTCAGCAACCCATGCTTGCCTTAAAAGGCGACTATGATTGTCGTAAGAGGTGACTAACGGGATCGGGTGGTCAGGCTCTCTGACTTGGTTGATTTGTGTCATCGATCCCAATTGCGTAGATTGAAGCTCATGAAGTCAATCTCTGGATTGTCTTGTCCAGACTTGATTAATTCCAGTCCGCCGTCATATATCTGGAATATTGCTGAGTGCGGCGTTAAACAACAAACAAACTTTGTTTTGGTAGTGAAGAAATCTGTGAAATCTGATTCATTGAAATAGAAAATTAATCCCAAATACTTAAATATTAGGAAAATTGTGTGACCATGGTGAACATAGTGACAGTTTGAAATATTGTGGTAGTGTATGTGAGGTGCTGGGCAAAAGAAAGTAAACACTTCACTCTTCTCATTTCTATGTACTGTTAAATTGCGACCCCAAATTCAGTGAGACGTCATAAGCACATCATCTTTTGTGAGATATGATGCATGTTACGTCGCCTATGAAACCTGTCTCAAATACATCACTAAATAAATAACCATTTATTTTTTGTTTTATTTTTAGCTACCATCAAACATGAATTTGTACTTTCCTTTGCCCGCCATTTTGGCTTTCTTCCCATGTTTCGCTAGACTATCATGATTAAGGTCCGTGGTTTGTCAGCACAAGACTCTTTGACTTCACTGTCGATGTGGGATAGTCTAGTGTTTAAAGCGTTTGCCCATCACACCGAAGGCCCGGGTTCGATTCCCCTCATTGGTACAATGTGCAAAGCCCATTTGTGGTGTCCCTCGCTGTGATATTGCTGGAATATTGCTGAAATTGGCGTAAAACCAAACTTACTCACTTACTCACTATAGATGTATTGTCTAAGACCTGTATCACCTTGGCCGCCTCACCACCTGTGACGATCCAGGGTAGAATAGGTCTTCAGCAACCCATGCTTGCCGTAAAAGGCAACTATGCTTGTCGTTAGAGTGGATCGTATCCAAATTGCGTGGATCGGTGATCTTGATGTCAATCACTGGATTGTCTAGTCCAGACTCAATTATTTACAGACCGCTGTCATATAGCTAGAATATTGCTGAGTGTGGCGTTAAACAGCAAACAAACAAATAAACAAACACAACAAACTAACACATTTGATGATGTCCTTGTACGTATTCAGTGAGTTGATCTCGGTTTGTGACATGCTGTGTACAGACCAGACGCCAACACCAACCAAGTTCCTGAGAAACTGTGAAGAGATAGGGCTGTTCCAGGAACTCAGTAAAAATCCATTTGAAGAGGCATTCAAGAAGGCGGCTGACCTGCCCGAGGTAGGCATGCATCAAGCATTTCTTGTGGATTCCCACCATGTCTTGTAACATGGTTAATCACTGGAGCAAGGGGGTTTTCATAGTCAGATAAACAAAGTTATACATGGCTTTGAGGTGAATGGGTATTTACCATAATGGAATTGAGATGAAGATATAATACTATTTCATTTAGGATGGGAAACAGAAGTTTATGGTCAACTTTCCATCCAACTATACATGCCTATTTGCCTGTTTTTAACAAGTGCTACTCCAGGGGAGAAGTTAAAGGTCAACATTGCTTCAATAAGCAAACTTATTCTGCTGTTCCAAGTGCCACTATCGCCAAATGGAAGTTAGGGTTAACTTTGCCATATTAACAAACCTTTTGTGGTGTTTTCAGGGAGTGCCACTTCCAGGTCCCCACTCCAATGATCTCAACACTCCAGTTCCACCTGACCCGTCACGCCTCGACTCGGTCATCGAGGTACCCAAGCTCACCTCCTCCTTGTCCATCAAAGAGGAAGTGGACAAGGAAAGTGGGGTCATCGTCATCGAGGAAACGGAAGCTCTAGACCTGTCTGGACGGCGACAAGATTCCAAGCAAGCCATCCCACAACCATCGTCCACAACCTCGGATGAAGACGTCCATGTCCGCTCCACATCCCAAGCGGCAGACAGCACCATGTCCCCAGCCAAACCTGTGGTGTCCAGCTCCAGTTCCGAGACATTATCACCAGCTCCGGTCAACATGTAAGTTGAAGCAGTAATGAATGTTCAGGGCCCTGTTCCACAAAGCTGCAAAGTCATAGTGATGTACTGTTCCCAGTTTGACCTCTGTTACTACCCTGGCACGTAATAGGTGACCAAATGGATTGGGCAATCCGACTGTGATTTGGGTGATGGCGTGGATTGTTGCTCACAACATCAATCCTTATACAATCTCCTTAAAATCAGATCTTAGTTTTCGCTACTGCTAAACAAAGATCTGAGGACATCCCATTAGGGGTCACGTCAGAACGACCTTTCATCTGATCAATCAGAGCATCGCTTACCAGATTATGAAAGTGACAGTCGGAATGATAGTTATGGGTTTAACGACCGAATCCATACAATCTAGACCATCTATTAGCCATTCCAGAATGTTCTTTTGTTCAGGTTTCAAATTTGTAATCAAGAATTTGTCAAAATATGTTTCGAAGCGTAGTCGCGAATTTGAAATTAGTGCCGTAAAGCACAAGAAAGCTGCCTTCTGATTGGTCATTCCATTGGTTGGTCTGACGTGACCCGGGATGTCCTCAGATCTTTGTTTAACGGTAGCGAGAACTAAGATCTGATTTTAATGAGATTGATCCTTATATTGTCTGTTGAAGACAGCATATGAAACGCTAGAACATATTATGTTTCTTTGTTTGATGCTAAACAACAATGTATGAGTATCAGGTGGAGCTACAGTCGTATAACATCAAAGTTAATACCATGGATATTTGGTAATCATAGGTGAGATACGTTTAAGCTAAATGTGGATGTTATATGTTGTAGGTCAAACGTCCCGGTGGTGCACCCAGCTGTGTACACAAATGTTGATGTTGTATGTCCATGTTGTAGGTCAAATGTTGCGGTAGTGCAGTCAGGGGCGGGGATGCCAACCACCTCAGCGAGCGCCGCGCAGCAAGTGTACACCATGCAGGTCTACCTCCAGCTTCCGTCAGGGCAGACTGTGCCCGTCAACATCCCCGCCACCATCGGCCCCTTGGGACAACAGCAACAACAACAGCAACAACAACAACAGCAGCAGCAGCAACCCGCATCACCACAGGGCATCGTCATACAACAGAAGGCACCGAGTGCAGCAACATTACCAACCACGCCTGTTACCACAGCGCCGGTCACTACCCCCACGTCATCCATGGTGCTGAAACAGGTCAGGGCAGAGAACTTTCAGTAGCAGTTAGATGCTGTAGTATCAAAGTAGTGATGATTATTACTAGTTATTATTATATTGTGCCTTCGACAAAACGGGACAGAGGTGGCCCAGTCATCTTAAGGAACTGCTATCTCTGTGCAGAGTTGCATCCCTTGGGCACGCCAGAATCCTGTGATTGTGGTTTTGAATCCCGGTTCACCCCGATTGTATTTCTAGGTTTGTCAGCACAATACCCGTGCTCATGGATTTCGGCAATGAGACCTGCATCACTTCGGACTTTCCTCCCACAGTAAACTGACACCTGCATCACTTCAGACTTTCCTCCCACAGTAAACTGACACCTGCATCACTTCAGACTTTCCTCCCACAGTAAACTGACACCTGCATCACTTCAGACTTTCCTCCCACAGTAAACTGACACCTGCATCACTTCAGACTTTCCTCCCACAGTAAACTGACACCTGCATCACTTCAGACTTTCCTCCCACAGTAAACTGACACCTGCATCACTTCAGACTTTCCTCCCACAGTAAACTGACACCTGCATCACTTTGGACTTTCCTCCCACAGTAAACTGACACAGAATACTGTACAAAGCAGTGATAAATCCTACTCACTCACTCACTCACTCACTCACTCACTCACTCACTCACTCACTCACTCACTCACTCACTCACTCACTCACTCACTCACTCACTCACTCACCCACCCACCCACTCACTCACTCACTCACTCACTCACTCACTCACTCACTCACTCAACCACCCACCCACCCACTCACTCACTCACTCACTCACTCACAGCAGACCGGATTCTACCTCTTTGTTTATCTTGCAATGTGATGTTTCAGAACATACACTTGTACCTTCATATAGAACAACTAGGTAGGTCATGGGTGGGATGGGGAGTTATTAAGGTTAAATGTGTTGTCAGAGATCGAGCAGTAGTAAACAAATTTAGTTCAGCCATTTATAAAACTTTTGGATAATAGTTACTAGGCAATATTATTATATCCCCTTCAACACTGCTGTTTTCTGTGAGAAATGGTGAAAAATATAATAATTGATTCTCAGGCAATGGCTTTTGAAAATATAGTGCGGGTTGGCGGTGTTTTTTTGGTGTTGTTTTATTGTTCAAACTAATATGTAACCAAATAAACAGATGTGTAACCAAATAAACAGATGTGTAACCAAATAAACAGATGTGTAACCAAATAAATAGTTGTGGGAAAGCATCTCCCAACATAAATGTATTTCTTGAAGAGTAAAATACTGGAATACAGTATTTGGCTACTAGGATTTTTTTGTTTTTCTAAAGTATGGAAATAAAAATGAAACGTGCGGTGAACTTTATAATGATGCAGGCTTTTTTAAGCCTAATGTGCATAAGAAATTTATTCTGTCATAAACTTTCAGTCTTGTACAGGGGTGCTTATAAACATTACTTCCAGATTGGCCTGGATTGGTCAGCTGCTGCTTATACGGTTTATCTAAGATTATGCCCAGTTGTTCATTGAATATGTGGGTTCATTTAATGGGGATTCGTAAATACTTATTGGTAAGAAGTAGGGCTGCAACAAATACACTATGAGGCGTATATGATTTGTATCATGAATATAGGGTAGCGAATATGAATATTAATTTATGAATACAATAACAAGTCAGCAGTTGATGTATTATTTGTCATATTCAGCATGTTCAGTGAGGCAACAACAGCATGAAATTAATTGACATGGTTTGTTAATTATTAATATATTATTCATTTATAAACCTCACTTATCCAGGTACTAGTATCTGCTCAAATGCGACAATGACCAGTGACCACAATACTGTCAAATTAAATAGTAAAAGAGTGTTGTCTTTTGAAGAAATCTATGCATAAATATGTTCTTATTGGTATTTTTTTATGTAAATGCACATGCTTGCATATTCATAAATATTCGATTCTAGTGGCCACAAATAACGAATTCAATTCATGAATGGATACGGTTCGATTCACCGAATACGTGAGTGTAACAGCCCTAGTAAGAAGATCTTGTATTAAATGTAAGGTCGTTGAGAACAGGTATTAAATCCTGGAGAAGTCATGAAGCTTTCTCTCAACCATTTGGTTTTTGTACCTATTCATCTTTTACAAATTGATTTTGTGTTTCCAGCGTTTAAAACAGACAATTCAGCAAAACACCCCATCTCTGGCAGTAATAAAGACGGAGCCTGCTCCCCTGCCTGCGCTGCACACGTCTGTCGTCAGCCCCTCCCAACCTTCCACATCCATCTATATACCGGATACTGTGTCAGGATCCCAGTCGGACTCCCCGGTCGGGTCTCCAGACGGAGAGTTCTCTGAGTCCGGCTTCAGCATGTAGGTGTTCCCCAATCATTAAGCAGTGTACATTGTATTATACTACTCAAAGGAAGCCAAAGAACACCTGCTTTTTTCCTGTGATTATAGGCAATCTGTCTTGTCATGTTGAGTACAACTACTGTGTGGTTCTCTTCCAGAAAACGGTCCAAAAGAGCCAGTGTGGACGATGATGCTGACGAGAGGAGAAGGAAGTTTTTAGAGAGAAACCGGTAAATATCTGCTCTCTGTCTAACAATATGAAGAACAAATATGCAATGGAGTTTAAGGGACAGATTTACATTGATAAAGACCCCTTGTCAAGGGATCCACTGAGATGCGTTATGTGTGTGTTTTCTAGGGTGGCAGCAACCAGCCATTGTCATGGTTACATGTCTTTTTCTACAGTGGCAGCACCAAGGTGTTGTCATGGTGATGTATGTGTTACAGCCAGGTGTTGTCATGTTCATGTAAGTTTATTCTAGAGCAGTAGCATCCAGTTGTTGGCATGGTAACATGTGTTTTCTAGGACAGCAACAGCCAGCTGTTGCCATGGTGATGTATGTGTTTTATTGAGCAGCAGAAGCCAGCTGTTGTCATGGTAACATGGTTTTCTGGGACAGCAACAGCCAGATGTTGTCCTTGGGATGTATGGGTTTTTCTGGGGTAGCAGCAGCCAGGTGTTGTCATGGTGATGTAAGTGTTTTTTCTAGGACGGCAGCAGCCAGATGTTGTCATGGTTATGTATATGTTTTGTAGAGCAGCAGGAGCCCGGTGTTGTCATGGTGACATATGTGTTTTCTAGACCTGCAGCAGCCAGGTGTTGTCATGGTGACATATGTGTTTTCTAGACCTGCGGCAACCACGTGTTGTCATGGTGATGTATGTGTTTTCTAGAGCGGCAGCAGCCAGATGTCGGCAGAAACGGAAACACTGGATCAACAACCTCGAGAAGAAAGCTGATGAGCTCCAAAACACTAACTCTAGATTACAGGTAACTACCAATATATATCTACTTTATTACAGTCACAATCTCTAGGTGAAAGATGACTTTGAATACTGAGAATACAAAGGAACAAACATGTTTTTAATCAAATATTATTGAACTCACTGAATTTGTATGCCCCTATACCTGTATACATATTTATCCATCTGTATGCCCCTACACCTGTATGCCCCTACACCTGTATGTCTCTACACCTGTATGCCCCTACACCTGTATGCCCCTACACCTGTATGCCCCTACACCTATATGCCCCTACACCTGTATGTCTCTACACCTGTATGTCTCTACACCTGTATACCCCTACACCTGTATGTCTCTACACCTGTATGCTCCTACACCTGTATGCCTCACACCTGTATGCCCCTACACCTGTATGCCCCTACACCTGTATGCCCCTACACCTGTATGTCTCTACACCTGTCTGTCTCTACACCTGTATGCTCCTACACCTGTATGCCTCACACCTGTATACCCCTACACCTGTATGCCCCTACACCTATATGCCCCTACACCTGTATGCCCCTACACCTGTATGCCCCTACACCTGTATGCCCCTACACCTGTATGCCCCTACACCTGTATGTCGCTACACCTGTATGCCCCTACACCTGTATGCCTCTACACCTGTATGTCGCTACACCTGTATGCCCCTACACCTGTATGCCTCTACACCTGTATGTCTCTACACCTGTATGTCTCTACACCTGTATGCCCCTACACCTGTATGCCCCTACACCTATATGCCCCTACACCTGTATGTCTCTACACCTGTATGCCCCTACACCTGTATGCCCCTACACCTGTATGCCCCTACACCTGTATGCCCCTACACCTGTATGTCGCTACACCTGTATGTCGCTACACCTGTATGCCTCTACACCTGTATGCCCCTACACCTCTATGCCCCTACACCTGTATGCCCCTACACCTGTATACCACTACACCTGTATGTCTCTACACCTGTATGCCCCTACACCTGTATGCCCCTTCACCTATATGCCCCTACACCTGTATGTCTCTACACCTGTATGTCTCTACACCTGTATGCCCCTACACCTGTATGTCTCTACACCTGTATGTCTCTACACCTGTATGTCTCTACACCTGTATGCCCCTACACCTGTATGTCTCTACACCTGTATGTCTCTACACCTGTATCCCCCTACACCTGTATGCCCCTACACCTGTATGCCTCTACACCTGTATGCCCCTACACCTGTATGCCTCTACACCTATATGCCCCTACACCTATATGCCCCTACACCTGTATGCCCCTACACCTATATGCCCCTACACCTGTATACCACTACACCTGTATGTCTCTTCACCTGTATGTCTCTACACCTAAATGCCTCGACACCTGTATGTCTCTACACCTGTATGCCCCTACACCTGTATGCCCCTAGACCTGTATGCCCCTACACCTATATGCCCCTACACCTGTATACCACTACACCTGTATGTCTCTACACCTGTATGTCTCTACACCTAAATGCCTCGACACCTTTATGTCTCTACATCTGTATGCCCCTACACCTGTATGTCTCTACACCTGTATGCCCTTACACCTGTATGCCCCTACACCTGTATGCCCCTACACCTGTATGTCTCTACACCTGTATGTCTCTACACCTAAATGCCTCGACACCTGTATGTCTCTACACCTGTATGCCCCTACACCTGTATGCCCCTAAACCTGTATGCACCTACACCTGTATGCCTCTACACCTGTATGTCTCTACACCTGTATGCCCCTACACCTGTATGTCTCTACACCTGTATGCTCCTACACCTGTATGCCCCAACACCTGTATGCCCCAACACCTATATGCCCCTACACCTGTATGTCTCTACACCTGTATGCCACAACACCTGTATGCCCCTACACCTGTATGTCTCTACACCTGTATGCCCCTACACCTGTATGTCTCTACACCTGTATGCCACAACACCTGTCTGCCCCTTCACCTGTATGTCTCTACACCTGTATGCCTCTACACCTGTATGTCTCTACACCTGTATGTCTCTTCACCTGTATGTCTCTACACCTGTATGCCCCTACACCTGTATGTCTCTACACCTGTATGTCTCTACACCTGTATCCCCCTACACCTGTATGCCCCTACACCTGTATGCCTCTACACCTGTATGCCCCTACACCTGTATGCCTCTACACCTATATGCCCCTACACCTATATGCCCCTACACCTGTATGCCCCTACACCTATATGCCCCTACACCTGTATACCACTACACCTGTATGTCTCTTCACCTGTATGTCTCTACACCTAAATGCCTCGACACCTGTATGTCTCTACACCTGTATGCCCCTACACCTGTATGCCCCTAGACCTGTATGCCCCTACACCTATATGCCCCTACACCTGTATACCACTACACCTGTATGTCTCTACACCTGTATGTCTCTACACCTAAATGCCTCGACACCTTTATGTCTCTACATCTGTATGCCCCTACACCTGTATGTCTCTACACCTGTATGCCCTTACACCTGTATGCCCCTACACCTGTATGCCCCTACACCTGTATGTCTCTACACCTGTATGTCTCTACACCTAAATGCCTCGACACCTGTATGTCTCTACACCTGTATGCCCCTACACCTGTATGCCCCTAAACCTGTATGCCCCTACACCTGTATGCCTCTACACCTGTATGTCTCTACACCTGTATGCCCCTACACCTGTATGTCTCTACACCTGTATGCTCCTACACCTGTATGCCCCAACACCTGTATGCCCCAACACCTATATGCCCCTACACCTGTATGTCTCTACACCTGTATGCCACAACACCTGTATGCCCCTACACCTGTATGTCTCTACACCTGTATGCCCCTACACCTGTATGTCTCTACACCTGTATGCCACAACACCTGTCTGCCCCTTCACCTGTATGTCTCTACACCTGTATGCCTCTACACCTGTATGCCCCTACACCTGTATGCCCCAACACCTGTATGCCCAAACACCTGTATGCTCCTACACCTGTATGTCTCTACACCTGTATGCCCCTACACCTGTATGCCTCTACACCTGTAAGCCTCTACACCTGCCCCTACACCTGTAAGCCTCTACACCTGTATGCCCCTACACCTGTATGCCTCTACACCTGCCTCTACACCTGTATGCCCCTACACCTGTATGTCTCTACACCTGTATGTCTCTACACCTGTATGCCACAACACCTGTATGTCTCTACACCTGTATGCCCCTACACCTGTATGTCTCTACACCTGTATGCCACAACACCTGTATGCCCCTACACCTGTATGTCTCTACACCTGTATGCCTCTACACCTGTATGTCCCTACACCTGTGTACCCCTACACCTGTATGCCTGTACACCTGTATGCCTGTACACCTGTATGCCTCTACACCTGTATCCCCCTACACCTGGGTACCCCTACACCTGTATGCCCCTACACCTGTATGCTGTGTGTTGCCAGAGTGAGGTGAGCCTGCTACGCGGGGAGGTGGCCCAGCTCAAGACGCTGCTCCTGGCACACAAAGACTGTCCCATCACCCTCCAGCAGAAGTCTCAAGGTCACCTCGCCTTAACCACAAGTAGGTCACTCATTTGTCCTTTGACAGAAGTTTTATAGGTATTTTAACTTACATGATGTAAGAGTGAATGAGTGAGTGTGGTTTTACGCTGCTTTTAGCAATATTCCAGCAATATCACAGCGGGGGACACCAGAAATGAGCTTCACACATTGTACCCATGTCGGGAATCGAACCCGGGTCTTCGGCGTGACGTGCGAATGCTTTAACCACTAGGCTACCCGACTGCCCACATGATGTAAGAGGCAAAGACTTATTGGTAATCTGTGTAAAATAATACTCACTATGAGATAACAGATATTCTTTCTATCTTAAACATTCATCTTGGTTCACTTCAGCATGTTCAGAGAACATTTTTCTAAAAATTACTTCACAAACACTCATTATTTGTGTAATGGCTCCTCAGAGCATAAGCATTTCTAAACCCTGGGGATTCCTGGTTCGACTTGGTACCCAGAGACCAATGCCTGTCGTAAGAGATGACTTGGTGAATCGGGGGGTCAGGCTTGGTGATTCTGTTAATTGTGTGTCTTCCTACTCTGATGGCAAGGATCGTTGCTCATAATTACAATCACTGAATAGTCAGTTTATCATCATTTTACCCATAAGTACCTTTTCAGGCTAAGCACAACGTCAGGTAGGCTAAATTTGGTAGATTTGAGTTTTGATATAGGCTGTTTTCATTGCCCTATGATTCGTAATACGTAAAATAATCTTTTTTCTAGCATTTCCGACAGTACTTTAGTTCAAGCAGCCTGCATGCATGTCGCTATGTAAGTGCCAAAATCTTGAAGGTGATGTTAAACCTCACCTCATACCTCATAGGTCTTCAGCAACCCGTGCTTGCCGTAAAAGGCGAATATGCTTGTCGTAAGAGGCAACTAACGGGATCGGGTTGTCAGGTTCGCTGACATGGTTGATGTATGATGCATCCAAATTGTGTAGATTAATGCTCATGATATCAATCTCTGGATTGTGTGGCCCAGACTTGATTATTTACAGACCGCTGTCATATAGCTGGAATATTGCTCAGTGCGGCGTTGAACAACAAACAAACAAACAATCACCTCACCTTAGTTTTGAATTGAACTGTTGTCACCAAGGTCATTTCGGTATTTCATTCAATTCCAGTAAACCTAGTGGAGTCTGGTGCTTCTGCTAGTATACCTACCATCACCTCATCCGAAGTATCAGCCTCCCAAGTTGCCGGGGCAACAGAGGCCATCACTATGGCATCAGGCATCACCGTCATTCCAGTCTCTGCAGAGCACATCGTAGCATCACAGGAAGTTGGCAAAAAGTGACACCATTAGTTCATCAGGAAAGACTGTCAAAGACTTTACTCATCTAGATGTGTGTTTGAATTACAGGAACAGCAACTTATACCAAGACATGTGATACGTTGTGTCAGAGAGTGCTTGTGTCATCATCTTGCTCTCATGTCTTCTCCACCAAAGCTTGTGTTAGCCGAGGGTGGGGTCAGCCACGACCTTGTTGTGTTCGCCCAGGGATAGGTCTACACAGACGTCTTGTGTTAGCGTAGGTATGGGTCAGACACAAGCGTCTTGTGTTGGTCCAGAGATGTGTCAGACACAAGCATCTTGTGTCAGCCCAAGGATGGGTCAGTCACAAGCATCTTGTGTTAGCCCAAGGATGGGTCAGTCACAGGTGGCTTGTGTTAGCCTAAGAATGGGTCAGTCACAAGCGGCTTGTGTTAGTCCAGGGATTGGTCAGTCACAAGTGTCTTGTGTCAGCCCAAGGATGGGTCAGTCACAAGTGTCTTGTGTTAGCCCAGAGATGGGTCAGACACAAGCGGCTTGTGTTAGTCCAGGGATTGGTCAGTCACAAGCGTCTTGTGTTAGTCCAGAGATGTGTCAGACACAAGTATCTTGTGTAAGACCGGGGATGGGTCGGACAGACATCTTGTTTTAGCCCAAAAATGGGCCAGACACAGATGTCTTGTGTTAGCCCAGAGATGGGTCGGACACAAGCGTCTTGTGTTAGCCAGGACAGCCGGGGGCAAAGCCCCAAGAACAGTATAGGGCAGGATCTGACCTCTGGTGTGTAGTATATGTGTTATCATATGGTTATAGACAAACACAGAGGCCAAAACATTTTAACTTTAATCTACATATAACTTTAGCCTAAACATGTAAACTTGGTAGACAAATCTAGGCCCAAGCATGGTAACTTGATACACAAATCTGGGTCCAAGCATGGTAACTTGATACACAAATCTGGGCCCAAGCATGGTAACTTGATACACAAATCTGGGCCCAAGCATGGTAACTTGATACACAAATCTGGGCCCAATTATGGTAACTTGATTCACAAATCTGGGCCCAAGCATGGTAACTTAATACACAAATCTGGGCCCAAGCATGGTAACTTGATACACAAATCTGGGCCCAAGCATGGTAACTTGATACACAAATCTGGGCTCAAGCATGGTAACTTGATACACAAATCTGGGCCCAAGCATGGTAACTTGATACACAAATCTGGGCCCAAGCATGGTAACTTGATACACAAATCTCGGCCCAAGCAGGGTAACTTTGGGAAAGATAGACATGGGTCCACCTGGTCGTTACCAACCTGTATGCTACATAAGCATGGAGGTCAATACCTGAGCAGGTATACATGTGGCTATCTAGGCTGTGTTGTGTGTATATCCCAGTACATTCACAAGAGGTCGTGGAGACAAGATGGACAGAGAATGAGAGACAGGACTGAGAGGTGGGGCACAGTTGAAAGCCTCTGTTGACAGCAACAGGGTGGGTCGTATTGTTCCTGAGTAACAAGAAGTGCCAAACTGGCACACATTACCTCCATTAGAACTTTGTTTGGTGTACTATAATCCTGGCTGTGTATGACACTGGTGGGAAGGCAATGTGATGTCACATCTGGCCTATGATATCATGTGAGTCTCTGTGATGTCATCGGGTAGCCTTGTTGTTAAAGCGTTTGCTTGTCACACCGAAGATCTGGGTTGATTCCTGAAATGGGTACAATGTGAGAAGCCCATTTCCGGTGTCCCCCACTGTGATATTGATGGAATATTGCTAAAAGTGGCATAAAACCAAACTCACTAACCCACTCATGTGAGTCTCTGATATCATGTGAGTCTCTGCGATGTCATCTGAGTCTCTTGAGTCTCTGTGATGTCATCTGAGTCTCTGTGATGTCATCTGAGTCTCTTGAGTCTCTGTGATGTCATGTGAGTCTATGATGTCATGTGAGTCTCTGATTCTCTGTGATGTCATGTGAGTCTGTGATGTCATGTGAGTCTGGTTCTCTGTGATGTCATGTGAGTCTCTGTGATTTCATGTGAGTCTCTGAGCCTCTGTGATGTCCTCTGAGTCTCTGTGATGTCATGTGAGACTATGATGTCATGTGAGTCTCTGTGATGTCATTAGAGTCTCTGTGATGTCATATGAATCCTGTGATGTCACATTGACCCCTTTGATGTCATGTCAATGTCCATGATGTCGTATTGGGCCCGTAATGTCACACCAGGCCCTATGTCACATGACTCTCTGTGATTTCTCACCAGGCCTGGTATCGTCTGCTTCTTCACCATTGCCACATTATGAACAATTCTTCTCACTGTGGGTTAAACATAGCAAGGAGCCATCATTCAGAAATAGATATATTATATCTTGATTTTTTTACTGTAAAATTTTGAAACTATTCATTGTACTTCAAGTGTTTCATATCACTGTCATAATCATGGCAATTTTCATAGAAAATGAAAAAAAAATGGTGTGGTCATTTCCAAGCATTCTCATGTTTGATGTACATTTTTAGCCATTTTTTGTGACCTTGTGGTCATGTGACTGGTCATGTGACAAAGTCAGCTGATTAATGTGTGTAATAGAAAACTGCATATTTGATTGGCTGTTGAACAGCTGTATGTCTAGTGCTGTGATACTTGTAATGTGAATCTGTTGATTTCATTAACAAACCAGATATTGTGCTATATACATTAGAGGGAGAATCTACTGCTAACTCCATCCCAGGCTGTTGGGGGAACAGATGTTGAGACAATAACCAAACTGGATACCTATGCTTGTTTAGGGCTGGTCATAAACACTATATGTATGGATGCTGTGTTATCTAAATTCTGTATCTTTGTTTGTCTACTTGTTATTGTAGAGAGTGACTTGTTTACCTTTTTGTGAAAGACATTTGTGTTTTTGAGATGGATATCAAAGTGACAAAATGGTTTGTTAACATATACAAGTTTGACAATGCATACCTGCCTGGCTTTTATGACTAAAAGATAGAATGGCATTAATAACGATATTTCCATTTTGCAAGGAAGTCCCCATTATTGAGTCTGACTTGAATAATTCTTCAAAATTTATGAAATTTTGGTCATCTTGGTTTGGCCAAGCTTTTCAAGAAAATTGGTTTACAGATCCACGGACCATAGAAAATTATAATATGTGGGATGAGCAAATAAAGTGTTGACCTAGATAAAGTGTGAGTATTAATATAAGCGCCCGCTCCCCCAACTGGTTCAAAGTCTCTGTCAAACTTTTTGATCCATGTATGAAAGGGAGGTTACTCTCATTGTGCACCTTGCAAATCTGCCAGTCATAGAATATGTTAAACAGCAATACCGTCAAGACTGGCTTAACAAACACAGGGAACATGGCAACATATTAGGAGAACATTTTGTATAACAAAAATAATCTTTGATGTCTTCTTTTCCCCACATTTTCTCCTATGACATAACTAACCATGATTAAAAAGTAAGTTGTCAATAAAACCAAGAATTGATAAAAAAACAACCTTGTCAGATCCTGAAAACATGGAATTGTTGCCATGATCAAAATGGATAGACAAAACAATTCTACCATATAATTCCTTAGTAATTATACCCGGATGGTGAATACGAGTTCATCTCAAATGAAAGTCAATAGATGATGTATAACTATTGTATGTCATGGGAGGGATCTATGCTTTGTCCCTATTTTCGATTCTGTCATTTAGCAATGTTGTCTTATGTAAAGTGAGTGTTTGTATGTTTGTTGATTTTGAAGTTATCTCTTTGTTATTGTTGCATATTAATTGAGATTTAGAGAAAGACTATGTTGTTGTGCGGATTGTTGAATTTGAGAAATTTGGGTAATCTACTTAAGCTCATTTGAAACTTTGATTTTGTAAGGGTTTCCTGTATTTCTTGAATTATAGCTGGCTTTGTTCGAAGTCTGTGTGTGTGCACTATATTTGCGAGAACGGCTCAGATGGTGGGGAAAATATAATGTGAGACAACTTATCAAGGTTTTTGCTCAGGAATTTTTTTTCAGCCTAAGAGGCCAAAATTGGATCAAATTTATTTAACAGTTTGTGGTGTAATAAGGTCGTCTGATGCTGCAACTTGTACACAGGGGAGACAACTTGTGCACAGGGTAGACAACTTGTTCACAGGGTAGACAACTTGTTCACAAGGGAGACAACTTCTTCAGGTATGGTGTCTCTATTCCAAATAGGGTTAGCTTCATTTCTACCTCTGGTAACCATGGTAACCATTTGTTAATACATAACTTCCTGTGTCTAATACTCCCATTTTATTCAAAATTATTTTTTCTCACTTTTGCTTCATTTCAAAGTGGTTTATTAGTTTGGTACATACAAACTTGAAGGGACAATGATTTTGATGGACATGGAATATCTATTTCTACATAACAGTTGTCTTCTTTTCAAGGCTTCATCTATGTGCTCTAGTTCAGCTGTGTCATATAGCTTCAGCATCTATTAAGACATAACAACATCCTTTTGTCAGAAAATGTGATTTTGGTATGCATCAGTTCATCAGTTTGACATATATGAATATTAGGACAAAAAGTGGTCTTTGCATTTCATAAACTAAGGTTGTGATTAGAGATTGCTTTTATTGTCATAGCTAATGTGTTGATAACTGTTGTGTTGATATGCATTGGTGTAGACTGGCCAGGCTTTGGATCTGTCTGTCGATATTGGACACATCTATTGAAGATGGCTGCTTTCTTGTGTGTTGTTGTGCACAGCTCTTAGAAAATAACAGCATGCCATCACAGGTAGGGGGCACGGGTGGCCCAGTCGTCTAAGGCGCCGCGATTTGCTGTGCAGAGTTGCGTCCCTTGGGCATGCCATAAATCGAATCCCGGTTCGCCCCGATTGTTTCTAGGTTTGTCAGCACCATTCCCGTGTTCGTGGGTTTCACCGAAGTGGTAAACGTCTGAGACCTGCATTACTTCGGGCTTTCCTCCCACATTAAGCTGACACGCTGTGATATAACTGGAATACTGTTAAAAGTGGCGTTAAACCCAACTCACTCACTCACTCATCACGGGTAGAGTAGAGAGCCAGGAGATCTGTTTGGTAACTCTGAGTGATAGGATGCTCGATACATCGATGTGCGGTTAAACAGGGTGTCAGGTACGAGATACATTATATTGTAACATATTGTCATGTCACAGTAGGTATTGTGATGCATGTAGAGAGTTACAATACTTATTGATACAGTGGTCATGATGTGGTACATCATCTTCCCGAGGCAAGGGAGATAACTGACTATAAGAGTCCAGTTTCCACCCTTTGCCGAACTAGGCTGGAATTAAGGAGTCATATTTTGGCTTGTCTAACAAGTCTATGCATAGTCCAATCACAATCGCGTCACGAAATCAACATCCGGTTTATAAACTGCCATGCTGAATTCGTCTGTGCGCGATTTGCAAAGCATGTGTACCGTCAACATGCCGTGAACAGAAATTTTTCCAAATCTTTCCATGACTTTAATCAAGGTGCTCACATGATTTGATGCAATTCACAGTGTAAGACCTGTTTTATTACAATATTAACCTTGATTATCGATCAGATCGTCTTCACTGGACTTTGCCATTTTGTTTGAAGCAAATGCATGTGATATGGGAGGTGGAATCTGATTGGTCAATAGGAGGGTCATAGAAGGGACAATACTCGCAATAGCCACTGGTGGTGCTGGGATCGAGCCCAGTAATTCTACTTTTACAGTCAGTTACCTCCCTTGCCTCGGGAAGATGATGGTACATGTGGTCGTACGGTTGTTATGGTATGGTACATATTGTGATACAATTTTCATGAATGATTCATAAAGTGATACAGTTGTCATGATGTAGTGCATGTTATATGATATGGTACATGTGATACAATTATCATGATACTGTGCATATACAATTGTCATGACATAGTACATGTACAATTGTCATGATACAGTACAATTATCATGAAATAGTACATATTATACAATTGTCATGAAATAGTACATATTATACAATTGTCATGAAATAGTACATATTATACAATTGTCATGAAATAGTACATATTATACAATGGTCATGAATTAGTACATATTATACAATTGTCATGATATGGTACATATATACTATTATCATGATCTAGTACATGCTATACAATTGTTATGATATCGTACATGCTATACAATTGTCACAATACATGTGATACGATCTGAGACACAGCTGTCCTGAACCAAGCTAACAGCCACAACACACTAGACATCGTAACACAGCTGACCAGCGTGACAAGTGAAGTGTTTCAGCAGCTGCTGCTGGTTAGGAGGACTCTTGTCTCCATCGTCAGTGTCTGTGATGCTGCAGTGAATATCCTCACACTCACATGTAACTAAACTCACACAACACGGAACGGTAAGACAAACCGCGTCCAAAAACATAAATTGATAAATTGTTTCCATAGGTTTATAAGCACTGAAAACACCAATGCCAGGAAATAAAATATACCGATTTGAAAAACGTTATTCTTTCATTATGTTTGACACAGAAACTGATTTTAGTGTAGATTAAGTGAAGTCCCCAAAGCCGAGATTCATAGTCTGTAGATGGCTTGTGAACTGTATTCTGATGATAAAGAATAAAATCGTGCAACTTTTTGGAAAACAACTGGTTTATTTCACGTAGTGATGTGCATTCTTACACTGTTATCAAGCAACTGATGCGTTATGAAACAGAACAGAACAGAACAGAAATTTTGCAGATGAAAGAGATTTACATCTAAGATTGGTTTAAATACATTGTCAGGTCCAGATCTCATTTCTTTTTGGCCCCAAATAAGGACAGATATGTATGTAGAATGAACAATGTAACTGTTATGTTTGGTATGTGTTGATGTCAACTACTGATGTATGCACCTGGAAAAAAGTTAAGCACCACTTTTTTATTTTCATATATTCCCAACTTCCATGTATCTTTTCAAAATATCTGCATATTATGTGGACCTAATTTTTATAAATATCTACGATACCATTGTTACCTGATAAAAGTTGGTACAAGCACACTGTATGTTTCTCCAGATTGTTTTGGGGACACAGGTGGCTTGTCGTCTAAGGTGCCTCAATTTGCTGTCCAGAGTTGTGTCCCTTGGAGTGCCAGAAATCTATGATCGTGGGTTTGAATCCCGGTTCGTCCTGATTATGTTTAAGGTTTGTCAGCACCATACCTGTGCTTGTGGGTTTCACCAAAGTGGTAAACGTCTGAGACCTTCATCATTTTAGGATTTCCTCCCTCATTAAGCTGGCACACCTTGATATTACTGGAATATGGTTCGGAGAATTGTTAAACGTAGCTCACTCACTCACACATGATATTGACCTCATTGTTATGAAGGTCCAGGATACCATTGTTACCTGATGAAAATTTGGCATGAGATTGTCATACAGACCGAGTCATATCAAACGCAAAGAAGGATCGGAAGCAAATAAAATGGCTGTCAAATCGGAAATGCTAAAGAAAATGTCATCAGATAATCAAATTTAATTTCTGTATTTCAATATGAGTATGTCACAAAAACTAATATTATTCATAAGTATGTTTTTTAAAAATGGTAATTTTATTTAAGAAATTAATGACTAGTGGTAGTTCATTATCGTACAAAACACTGCAGTGTTTTCTTTTTATGATAAACAATGACCATGAGTCGTTTATTTCTGAAATGAGATACCAACATTATGTACATCCTCTTTGAAGATTTTAATAAAATGTACAAGTTTTAAAAATATTTAGGCGTATTTAAATAATGATGACTCCCTGAATACAATCTGACCTCAGCAATGTCGGACAAGTCCTTTTTATGAACAGGGGGGTTAGGTTTGGTATTTCCTGGATATTCTGACAATTTTCCCATTGATTATCTGTACTTTTCCTCCCAATACCGATTGTCACATTTCTTCTACTTCGGACACGATCATTCAGCCATCACGTGTATCTGTGTAGCCAAGGTACATCTATGGGGAGCAACTCTCTAGACACTTCCTTCTCAAAATTAACGTCAAATTTACGATGTCATCAAATTACGAGCACGTGTTGGAATCTCGAGAAATGACGTAATAATTGATAGAACAATGTTTTATCGGGAAATAAACCACGCTCATTCTTCATTGTTCTTTGCGATTTATCGCGTAGCTATCTTATATATAGAAATATATATGTGGTGCTTAAGTTTATTCTTGACCTACATATTCGATAGGTATGGTGAAATTTTTGCATTAGGGCTGATCAGTGTTGATTTATTGTACTAAATTAAAATCACTGGTCTGTTCAAGATAACCAATAGTTTGATCCAGGCTGAATGTTGTATTTGAGATAATCTGTGGACCTCCCAGGTCGACTTACCAGATTTCCAGACCCATGGCAAGAAGGTTGATAGTTTCAATAAATTTAATAAAGGATTCTGTAAAGATTGAGCACTGTTGGCCCAGGGGACTGAGGTTCCACAATTCAACCTCAACACAACACACATGATCCGGTGGTGTGCAGAGTTGCATCCCTTGGCTTGTCAGGATCTGCTGGTCATGGTTCAAAACCAGATTTACCCTCTTAATGATCCTTAATTTTTAGCTCCATAACCATGCTCATGGAATACACCCAAATAATGACCTCTACGAACTGTTTAATTTACATTTCCCTCCCACTTTGGGATCACACGGTGTGATGTTACCAAAATACTGTTCAAAGTGCACAAAACCAATAAGTTTGCATTGACACTATGCAAAATAGGTTCAGTTAGGTCTGTACGAAACACCATGATATTTGTTATTCAGTTGAATGTGTTGCTATTTCTCTGATACGTAATGTGCGTTGTCAGTATTCACTGGTTTCTATTCACTGCATTCCTCCATCACCCGTGAATACTTTCGTCCGTTATGTGATAGTTGTGATGTGTCAATTTTCAGTAAGCAAATGAAAAGAGCCTAGACTTCAAATGAGCTCTACTCCTTACATGGGGGGCACGGGTGGCCCAGTCGTCTAAGGCGCCGCGATTCGCTGTGCAGAGTTGCGTCCCTTGGGCACGCCAGAAACCTATGATTGTGGGTTCGAATCCCGGTTCGCCCCAATTAAGTTTCTAGGTTTGTCAGCACCATACCCGTGCTCGTGGGTTTCACCGAAGTGGTAAACGTCTGAGACCTGCATCACTTCGGGCTTTCCTCCCACATGAAGCTGACACGCCGTGATATAACTGGAATAATGTTAAAAGCGGCGTTAAACCCAACTCACTCACTCACTACTCCTTACATGAATTTGAGGCAGAGTAGATTTAAATCTATGATGTGTGCTCCACAAATTATCACGTTAGAAACATTTGTGTTTGTGCGATGTAAGTTGATATCTCATTGATCAGAGCAATTGGTGGTTTCCCTCGTGTAGAGTTGTGTCCCTTGGGCACGCCACAAACCTCACCCGATTCACACCAATTATGTTTCTAGGTTTGTCAGCACCATACCCGTGCTCGTAGGTTTCACCAAAGTGGTAAACGTCTGAGACCTGCATCACTTCGGGCTTTCCTCCCGCATTAAACTGACATGCCATGATATAAATGGAATACTGTTCAAAGCTGCGTTAAATCCACCTCACTCACTCACTCACTTAGAAATAGCGACTACACACAAAACGGATGTATGTATTAATGGGTGATTAAACGTAGTGTATACAAGACAGTGAAGCACTAATGATGAACATGACCTGCACCGGTGTCCCCAGTCTGTGTACAAACAGTAGGAAAGCATTGTCTCTGCAAGTGTTATTTTTGGATAATTCTTAGAATTATCGGTGCAGTTATATGGAAACCAATACCTGATGATGCTGCAGTTGTCTCCATTAAAGCTATTTGATATCTATGCCTTGTCATGCAAA